GTTCGGCCAGAAGCTGCAGACGGCCATGCTCCTGCTCCTGCAGGACAAGGACGCCTGTGGCTGGCTGCTGAAGGAGCGCAGCGACACCAGCGACAAGAGGAAGTTCCTGAAGGAGCGGCTCTCGCGCCTGACCCAGGCTCGGCACCGGCTGGCCAAGTTCCCTGGCTAAGGCTGTGTGCACCAGGTCCACAGCACAGGGAGGCGGCCCTGGCCTCTCCTGGTGGCTCTGTGACCACTGTCCTCCAGCAGAGAGGGAGCATGAGCCCGGCTGCCCAGGCAGGGGCTCTGCTGGCCCCTGGATAAGGGTTGGGGCTCTGGGAGGCTGTGATTCCCAGTGGTCAGAGGAGAGCCCCTGAGCTCGGCCAGAGGGCTCAGCGCCCTGCCAGTTTCCTTCCTGATTTGCCATGTCCTCTCAGGAGCCATGTCTTGCTGTGGGGGGAGGGCTCGTGGTGGGTGTCCACCTGTCCCTAATAAACCCTGCTGCCCGGCTCTTCTCCGACAGGCTTTGTCCCTGGGGATCCCTGGATAAGGCAGGAGGAGGGGCCTTGTGCCCGACCTGCCCTAAGCTGCCCTCCCCAGGGTCTGGGAGGACAGAGGACAGCAGTGTCCTGCTGATTCCTAGAGATGGCCGGGGAGGGGCCAAGCTTGGGAAGACAGTGACCTCAGGTTGTCACTGGTGCCTGCTGGGCGCCTGGCCTGCAGGTGAGGCTCTCAGGTCCTGGTGGAGAGGACGCTCTGCCAGTTCTGGCGAGAGGTCCTGGCCGAGAGGGCGGCTGGTGGGTGTGCAGGACGGAGAGGCCCTGTGTGGCCAGCAGGGAGACCCATGGGCAGCCACCAGCCACACCCACACCCGAGCGTCCATGCTACTGCTTGACCTTCATCCCCTGGGGCCACCAGGATGGCGGGCAGCCGTGCAGCAGTGCCCCGGGGATGGGGGCACCATGGCCTTTGCCCTTAGAGGAGCAGGGCAGCTCTTGCCTTCAGGAATGCCTGAGCCCACACAGGAGGCAGGGACCACCCCAGGCACGAGGGGCAAGGACCAACCTAGACATGGTCTAGGACACTCAGGCTGACCAGTCCTGCTGTCCTGGGGTCCCTGTGCAGCCACAGTCGAGTGATCTCCTCTAACTCTGCTGCCCCTTGACGGGGAGGGACTCAGGCCACACTGGACGCTGCCCATCAGGGGCAAGGTGGGTCTGGGTATGCCCCTGCCTCTCCCATGCACACCCCCACCCAGATCTCTTCTGACCATGAAGCTTCTTAATCCCTGGACGGTGTCGGGTTCGCCTCCAGGACGGGATGCAGGAGGACTGTGGGCTCGGCATAGTCCGCAGCTGTGGCAGGTGTCGCCACGAGGCGGGGGCTGCCTGTGCCCCTGCAGCAGGACCCGGAGCCCGGGAGCTCCAGAGCTGACCGCCGGCTGCAGTGAGGAAAGGACTGCGCCAGTTCATGAGGCTGGGCGGGCACAGCCACTCCTTGTTTGGTTTTTTGTTTTTTTGTGGTGTTGGGGATTGAACCCAGGGCCTTGTGCATGCGAGACAAGCACGCTACCCTCTGAGATGTGTCCCCACCCCAGTGCCACTTCCTAATGGCCCCAAGTCTCTCTCTCCAAAGACACTACTTGTCCTCTCCCTCCAGAGACACCCGGTGTCCTCTCCCTCCAGAGACACCCCTGGTCTCTCCCTCCAGAGACACCCCTGGCCTTTCTCTCCAGAGACACCCCCAGGCTCTCCCTCCAGGCACCCCAGGCCTCTCCCCATCCTGCCTGGGAGCAGCCCTAAGGCTGAGGCATTCACAGTGGCTGCCGCCCTCTGGTGGCTGCTGGAGTCACTGCCCATGGCCAGGTCCCTTGCTGGGCTCTGCCCAATCTTGCAGGGACTTGCAGTTCTGTGGGACAGAAATGGAATCCGAGGTTTCCAACCTGACATGGACTCTGCTCTGCTGTGTGCAGTTTTCCTGGAGATCCCTGGAGGGTCTGGGGTGGGGGGGAGTGGAGTCTGGCTCCAGGGAAGGGCAATTTATCTGGAAGCTAAGCCTGCTGGGGCCCCGCCATGTCCAAGATGTGCCATAACACACCAGAGTCCCCAGACTTTCCTGACAGGTCATAGGCAGCCAGGGGTAATGTCCTGACCCTTCCCCTGACTCCTCACTGGGTGGGGCCTGTGCTCAGTCCAGGGCTGGACTGTCCTCTGCCACCCCACACGGGGGTGACCCCAGCTGCTGCCCACTCCATGGCAGCTGCCTGACGTCCATCTCCTGGGCAGAACATACTAGAACACCAAGGATGCGTCCTCATGGCCCTCCCTGAGGGCAGCTCTGGAATGGGCCCCACAG